TGTGTGTGTGTCTGTGTGTAGATACCAGTTCTCCACTTGTCCAGGAAACCCGAACATCTGTGAATAAAAATGCCATGCTCTTTGTAGAGGGCTTTGAAATATTAATATGCACAATTTCACTCTGTAAACTAGAGACAGTTTTACTGGTAGAACATTGTGTTTTGCATGTAAGATAAAGTTGTAACCAGGAAAAACCAAGCCTACAAAGAACCAACATGTTTGGATGGACATAATTGGGTGCTTCAGGATTTTCCTGTTGGAGCACCCGGCTGGCTCAGCCAGTAGACCAGGCAACTCTTGATCTCAGAGTCATACATTTGAGCCCCACGTTGGGTGTAGAAATGACTTAATAATATCTTTTTTAAAAAAAATAATTTCCTGTTAAGATACATTTCTGGATTTTTATTTTGTTATCTTTTAACAGCATCGAGAAATAGCCAGGTACAAATATATTCATTTATTTTATTCCATTTAAGAGTTACATACCTTCATTAAAGCTAAATTAAGTTGTTATGATAGCAGCAAGAAGTCTGAGCCTATGTTGAAATCAATGACAAAAGACTAATTAGATGTTCTTTGTGGGATATAAAGCAAGGAATACTTGTTTTTCAGTTTTAGGAATTAGTTGGTCTGTCAAACCCTAGGATATTGTCCAATTTTTCAGAGTTGCTGAGGTAAACAGAAAACCTAATTTGTGTCACTTTTTTTTTTTTTTTAAACAGGCTTTATCCCCTAAATCCCAAGGGTTAAAACCAAGGTGCCATTAACAACTCAAAGGTCTCCTTCTTTGACGGCTATAGAATTTAGGAGCTAAAGAAGAATTTTATTTATGAAGTTCCTGAGAGCTAAACTCTGAAACAAAGGAGAAGTTTCCCATGAGACCTGATGATGACATAGATTATACAATTATAGGAGCAGATGCTCACTGTGGACCCCACTGTGGGGAGGATACTCTGATGCATCCTAAACACTCCTAGGATGTCCTCAATCAGGCATCAGGAAGTAGACCAAGAACCCCCAAATCTAATTCCAGAGAATTTGGATGATCCTGGAATGTTGTCCCAAGGTGGGGAACAGGGACCAAGCAGAGCCCAATAGGCAGGCCCTTGTCACAGCTAGGAGGGGACCGGTCACCCTCGAACTTCAGAAAGTGGGTGAGCAGGTGAGGCCAGGGTGAGAGGCGAAGGTCACATCCCTTCCAGATTAACCCCCTGACCGACCTGGCAGGTATATACCCTGCTGTCCTAAACTGTTGGGTACCAGACCATCCTCATGGATTGTGCAGTATTTGTCCCTGGAGTGGGGGCGCTGGGGTACAGGGTTGGCCATCCACTTAATAAGATAAGCTTACCAAAGTAGACCATATTTACCTCCCTTTTTATCCTAAAGAGTATTCATTGTCAGATTTCAAAATCAGGGCTAGTTCTAACCTAAGTCCTTCACAGAGCTGCCTCCTCCAGGCCCCCCAAACAGACAGCCCCCATGGAGAGGGCCCCCCCTCCCCACCCCGCCAGGCCCTGCCATCCTGGAAAGATTCAGGGAGCACCTGTCTGATGCATCAGGTCCACAGGGAAGTTTACAGGAAATCAGAGAGTCCAGAGGAGTGGGCTCGTGTTGCTAAAAAGGCCTTGAAAATTGTGATGATGTGGTAATAGGTAGTTTGTTCCAAGGTCATTGTAAGTCATGGGGACGTGAACTTGAAAGAAAGTGTGGTTCCGTCACCGTGTCCATGTTCTTTCCCTCCCGTGTAGGAGTTTGAGAGGGAAAAGCATGCCCACAGCATCCTGCAGTTCCAGTTTGCCGAAGTGAAGGAGGCCTTGAAGCAGCGGGAAGAATTGCTGGAGGTGAGTAGTGCTCCCTCGTTTGTTCTTCCTTCTGTGTCTTAGGAGTATTTGGGGAGTACATTACGAAAATTAACCATTTCCTCGAAAATTGAGAGTTTAGGCTAATTCTCCATGCCTCACTTAAGGAAAATGGTTCCTTTCATTGGTGAAGATTCTCATTCTTTGGGGGGCTTTGTGTTTGTTTTGGGAGGCGTGGCCAAAAGAATGACGGCCCCCTGAGATGTCCATGTCCCGATCCCCGGGACCTGCGGATGTGGCGCCTTACACACCAGAAGGGACGTTGCAGGTGTGGTGCAGTTAAGGGCCTTGTGATGAGGAGTGACCCTAAATTATCTGGGGGCCCACTGTCATCACGGGGTCCTTATGCTGGGAGGCGAGAGAGGTAGCAGGAGGAGATACGGTGTGGGGGAGGGGGGTAGCAAGGCTGGTCCCACATGAGGAAGGGGCCAAGAGCCAAAGAATGCGGTGGTCTATGGAAGCCAAAAAAAAAAAAGGCGGGGAGGGCATGGGTTCTCCCCTAGAGCTTCCAGAAGAGAATCCAGACCTGCCCACACCTTGATTCTAGTGCATCAGATTCATTGACTCATTTTGGACTTCTGAGTTCCAGAACTATAAGAGAATAAATTCGCGTTGTTTTTAAGCCACTGACTTAATGGCACCTTGTGACCTTAGCAACAGGAAACTGATACAGGGTTGGTTCTAACTTTTTAAACTTGATCAGACCTTGAACTAGTGCCTGTAAGTAAGAATGTGCCCCAGGCAGGGTCTCTGCCTGCTTCTCTGGCCGCTGGAGGCTAAGGCCAAGGAAAAGGTTCCGGCGTTGAGAGGCGAATCCGGGCTAATGCAGGAAGTGGGGCTGGTACCTCCTCCACACGTGTCTGTGGGCCACCGGCAGTCACCGTGCTCGGATTATCGAGCCCTGCACTTTGTCTTCCTGCTTAACCCTATATCTGCTTTCTTTCTATCTGTTCCTATTCCTCAGGAAATCCGACAGCTACAGCAGAAGCAGGCGAGTTATATCAGGGAGATTTCTGATCTTCAGGAAACAATAGAGTGGAAAGACAAGAAGATAGGGGTAGGACTCCCGAGTCTGTGAAACTGTTCAAAGGGGCAGTCCGCTAGCAGATGCAGAAACGCTTGTGTGAGCATGCATGCGCCCCCACGTGACACAGAACTGATAATACAGAGAATACACTCGTTTACTCAAGCTGACAGTAACTCTGAACTTGAAGTGCACTTCCGACATGGTGTGGGCACCTTGTCGACGCTAACTGGTTTCTGAGCCTGCACCAAGCGGGCCAGCAGCAGCCTGAGCTACAAGGAGTGAGGGAGGCACCCTAGGGCAGGTAGGACATGGGGAGGCTCAGGCCTCTCGGATTCTCTGTCCGGTGTGGCCTGGGCCTTTCTTGAAGGCATTTGAGGAAGCTGCAAGGTGGCAGGTGCTGTGCCCGTGTGTTCCCCCCTTGACCTTTCCCTGTGGAGACCCCAGGCCCCTCTCCTTTAACAAGAAAAGCAACCACAGCCCACCTGCCTTTAGGAGTGACGACTAGGAAGACCGGAGCCCACTTAGAGTAACCGCCATGCTTCCCGGTGACAAATGGCTTCCAAAACACAGCAGCCCGTCCCGCACCGCTCTGATGCGGATCTCCAGGTGTTGGGGCCCAGCGTCGTGCATGTGCTGCGGGAGCCTGTGCTGGTTTTCCCTTCTGTATCCCCAACCACGCTCATTTAGGACTTGGCAAGCGTGCGCATGTGTGTTTGCCTTAGGACCACTTTATGTTCGTCTGCGACAGCGAACACCAAGAATCAATGTAGAAAAATAGTCTAAGTCGTCACTTGGGGTTTCTTACGCATTTCTTCTTATTCTGCATTTCTCTCTTATTTGAACGGGTGCATGGCTTGTGTCCATTCTCTCACCGCGCTAGAAAGCTGTGCACATACAGCAGCCTTCTTAGTGCCTTTAAGGCGGCAGGAGGGAACGTTCCTTGGCTGCCACAAATTCACGAGAAGCTTAGTATTTGCCTCTTGTCTGTATCTGGAAGCGCATCTACACAGTGCTTTAACTCTGGCAGTGTTCTACGTAGTGGAATCCTCCTTGCTCTCGTTTCAGTCACCTGCTCACCCACGCAAACTTCTCTCTCTCTTTGCTCTGCTCACACTCAGGCTTTAGAGAGGCAGAAAGAGTTCTTTGATTCCATAAGGAGTGACCGAGATGATCTTAGAGAAGAAGTAGTCATGCTGAAAGAGGAATTAAAGGTATGAAGCCAAAGCATAGTTTAAAAAAAAAAAAAAAATCCATGTTCTCAAGAATGACTGTGTGTGTGTACTGGTGTTCATCAATTGTGTGTCATTGATTTGAGTTCTGTTAATCAATTCAAATCTTTGGTTAACTGACACCGAAGAGACCCGTGAAAAGAATGAACGTAGGTTTAGTTGGGTCTGCCCGTTCCTTTAGATGTTCACAAGCATATCTGATCTTGAAAGCAACTCTGATTTCCAAGAATTTTTTATATACTGCTTACATTTTTTTCTCATACCCATTGATAAATTCTCCAGGACACTACTCCAAGTTAGACAATGTGTATGTTTCTTTATATTAAAGGCTCAAATTTAAGGACTTCTCCAACTGGTTGGTGGCGTGGGGGAGGCTCACACTAATTAGACTTTGAGACCCCGTGGGTTGAGGAACGTTCCACGTCCTGTTTGCACCATGTCAAGGGGTCTTCAGCTGCTGGCTGGACACTGAGTGAAGGAAAACGGGCTCAGGGTGGGTTATCAGCATTGTAGGAGACAGTGTTGAAAAGAGGGTGTGGCCATGGCAAATTCTGAGATCGTCAGTGGAAACGGATCAGGGTCAGCTGCTCATTATCAGGGGTCAAGGCCAGAGCAGTCAACCAGGGGGAGAGCTTCCTATCACCACCTCTCCCAGGGCTGTGAGCCTGGCGCTGGGGCCTCCTCCAAGCTCAAGGAGAGAGCTGCAAGCACGGGGATAGCAAGTGAGTCCGTGATCCATGTGAAGTGTGACTGTTTCTAGAGTGTTCCACAGGGTAGTGAGGATGAATTATATTTCCCTTGAAGATACCAAACATTCTAGCCACTTCTGTATTCCTTCTGTAACATAAGTTGTGTTTATTCCTTCCAGAACACACACGTATCTCTTTCTTTATCTCTCTCTCTCTTTTTAAAGAACGCAACCAGGGTTTTAAAAGTGAGGTCACTTTGCAGTGATTTGCCTGCTGCCGTACTGTGTGGCGGCCTGCAGGCCCTTACCTCCAGTTAAAAAGGATGCATGTTAATAGTGTCTCATCACCAGCCCATTGAGATGTGGATTGGAGCGTGGAGGAAAACATCCCAGATTTGTGTGTGTTGAGAGGATACTTACGAGCGTGGTGTCTACCACTTCTCTGATTCTGTTCCAACTTCAGGAAAAATAACTTCCTTTTCATTATTATTAATAAAATAGAGTTTAACCTAGTATCAGTCAGTATTACGAGTCTGTTTTTGTTCCCAGAAACATGGAATAGTCCTAAATTCAGAGCTAGCTACCAATGGAGAGACTTCAGACACTCTAAATGACGTCGGACACCAACGTCCTTCCAAGATAACAAAGGAAGAGTTAAACGCCCTCAGGACGCCAGGGGATGGGACGCTAGGTAAGTGCTCACCTTCCTTTGGGTCTTTTCATCCTCTAGTCCGCATCGATTCACCCTCCGTGCATTATTAGAATTGACGTAATCATCACTGATCAATTAACACTCACACAGCATGCCATGCGTCCTGCCACTTCTGGGGAGCGCCCTTGCCACACGATGTGACCACCCACGCGTGTTGTCTGGTGTGCATCTCTGTGCAGTGCTCACCACCGATGGCTAAGAAATACGTTTCTCTTGCTTCTCAAAGCCACCACGTGAAACTGTGAATGCAAGGAGAATCGTCTCAGAAATTAAGGGACAGTTCTGACAGTGCTAGTTGGTTCTCCTCAGCCACGGGCCGAGGATGGCTTCCTAACTTACTCCGTTACGGACATCTCCAAAGATCAGAATAGCAGAGGCTGTAAAGTAAGATAGTTAACCCTGGTTCCAAGCCAACACTGCACATCCTACACACCATGAAGTGTTTTGAGGGTGTGAGGTGCCGTGGACAGAAGATGGGGGCTTGTGACAGAGTATGTCTTGAGTGCCATTCTCAGGCTACTGCTCAGTGGCCCTGGGCTGGGGGGGAGGGGCGAGGCGGACAGGCAGCCCCCGGTGGGGAGCGTGGGCAGGGGGGAAGGGGTGCCTTCCCCTTCGTCAGAGGTGATGTTCCTTTGTCCGTCAGTTTTTGCTTCGGGAGGAATATAAATTGGGGAATCCAGTAGATTGTAAGAATACTTGATAGAATTTGCAAATATCTGAAAAGATTCACCGATTAATATTGGTCATAATATTTGGCTTTTGGGTAAAATAAGCCTTCTGAATCCGGAGTGCAGCCTGGAGTTGCAGCCGGCAGGTAAGGCTCACTTGTCCCTCATTACCCATTGCATTCCTGCTTCCTACAGTGAGGCTGGAATGTGCTCAGACCCCATGTCTCTAATTTCCATATAGAAGCTTTCACCTTATTTTTTTTTTATTTATGGAAACGTAGAAACCTGTAGGCCCCAGCTTCTCAGGACTTGCTTCATAGGGAGATGTACCTCATTATCTCCATGATTCCTAAAGGGACACGGCGCTTTCAATTGCTTAAAAGTTACTGAAAGAAGATAAATTGATTGGTTTTCATCCTACCTGTATATAAACTGTGTGAGCAGCTAGGAATTTGATCATGTTGCTCTTGCTCAAACATACGTTTTATAAATCTATGTTAACTGTTATGAAACCAACCCTTAAAGAACCAGAAATATCACTTTCGTAAGTGGTGTCCAAATGTTTTTTGATCGCATATCCCTATCAGTAAAGAATTGTGGGAACTTTCCAATACGTGTATTTTTAATTTATATATACACATACTATTCATCAATACAAAGTGTGTGTTATAAAACATATTCACTGACAGACATCTTTAAAGGGTGAAGCAAAACTAACTAGAAGCCCTGCTACTTCTCCCATTTTCTCTGGGGTAAGTGCACCCACCTGTGGAGACCACGGTGTAATAAAATTATCAGGCTTTGACTTTCAGCAACATGGCATCTGATATGCCGGCGGTTGGTTTGTTTGGAGAATCTAAAATATAAGCCTCCATTTCAAAGTCGTAGCATGTTTTTAGTTTGTACTTCTTCAATGGATGAATAACTTATTATTGATTAAGTGGTCATCTTGATCGTAAGCAGTTGCCACCTGCTGGCCCTCCCGCCAGACCCTGCGGGGATGGAGCAGAGGCGTTTAGGGCACCAGGCTACTTTCTCAGAAACACAGTGATTAGATGGTGGGGGGTGGATTTCTTTTCACCTCACATGAGCTATTTCAGGTTAGTATCTTCCTTGAGATTGACCTTGAGACTGAGTTTCTTAAGGTGGAGTGAAGGTTTCTTTTAAAAATTACTTGAAGGTGGTTTTAGGCCTATGTGACGCGCAGTGCAGTTTGACAGGCAAAGAAGTGTGAGTTGTCCAGCTGTGCACTTAGAAACGAACTTTAGGTCGTTCTTAAACCCATTATTTTGGATTGTTTGGCTGCCTGATCCAGAGCTCTATTTGTTAAAACTTAACTGCACTTTTGAAAACCAGTTCACACTGGACGGCACCAGCAGCCACTCTCACCTTCGAGATGGTGGCGGTGGCCTCCGCACATCGAATGCTGGCTGATGCAATGACTGATTTGCCGCACAGACCTGGCCAAGGCTTCTGTTCCATGTGATTCTTTGATGACTCTCTCTCCTTAGGAATGGGGTCGGGTGGGAGAGAGAACATGTGTTTACGCTGTAATGTATGTTAAGTGGTCACCACATCATGGGGTCCCTTCAATTTTCTCAATGGTCTTTTAGGAAGAGCCAGTGAAGTGGAGGTGAAAAGTGAAATTGTGGAGAATGTGGGGAAAAAAGAAATCTTGCAGAATACTGAGCAAGAACAGCACAAAGAGGACCCAGCACAGGAGTGTATGGACACAGAGGTGTTCCATCCTGGTGGAAATGCCGAGGACCAGAAAGCCTCTGAAGACAGTGCCCCCTCCCTAGGAGTATTAGCAGATGCCACGAATGAGGAGCAGGCTCAAAACCAGATCCTAGAGAACGCTTCCTTCCTTGAAAATACAGAGCAGGTTGAGTCCAATGAGGTCATAAACACACCCGATGATAGGACTGGGGCTTCCCTTGAGCAGTCTGAATGTTTGCGTGATGGTGAAATCCCAGGTCCTGGGACTGGGCAGGACAGTTGCGATGCCTTGGATATCAAAAACCACAGTACAGAATCTGCAGAAAACCAGGAAGACTTGAAAACCAACTTGGGAGAGGGTAGCACAAAGCCATGTCAAGAATCTGCCTCTCTGCAACCATCTGAAGTCGGAGGGCTGGGCAGCGCAGACACTGGGGAGCAAGGTGGGAGCCCCACAGAGGACGTGGTGGAGGCAGGGCTAACGGGGCTCGGGGAGCAGGTGGGCACAGAAGCCTCCGGCCCTCCGACCTACAGCGATGACAACGTGAGTCCTGATGAAAAGGGTGCCGTAGAAGCCCCCGCAGAGCTGGACCCAAGCGCAGGGCAGGACCTAGACAAAGAGCTCCCCGAGCAGGAAGCTGCTGAGCCCCAGGAGCTCCAGAGCACAGCGGTAGGTGGGGAGAATGACGAAAAGGAGGAGGAGGAAAGGGGGTTGAGGGATGAGAAGCCAACCCAGACAGGAGTGCAGAACATTCCTCGTTGTCCAGAGGCAGAAGGCAGTTTGCAGGGAGCAACAGGTCCTGCTGTGGCAGATGCCGGAAGCGAGCCCCTAGATGTGAAAGAACCCGAGGAAGAAAAGAATGACCAACAGGGAGAGGCGCTGTATTCATCACAGAAGAAGGCAAAGAACAAGAAGAAGAAAAACAAGAAGAAAAAAACACCGGTGCCTGTAGAAACCCTCAAAGATGCTGAGAAAGAGTTAACATTTCAGAACGCAGATTTGAGTGAGGTGAAGGACGACAAGCAGGTAGCTCTTACCGACAAAAAACCAGTTGTAGAAGCACAAAATGAGGTAACTGAAAGTCCAGAAGAGAAAAGTGTAGCAGGAAGTGGTGAAAATGTTGATTGTCCAGAAAATCCTAGAATTGAGTTGGATAAAATACTTAACCGAGAAGATAATGATGTAAACGCTAAGGGGGGGGGAGAAACAGCTGATGGGGGCACATTAGGTGTGGGGGGTGACACAGCCCCATCGTCAGGCACGAGTGCCAGTGATAAGGAGCTAGAGGAGGCTGTCCTAGGAGATGGCGCCGCTCCCGGCGGTCCTCCCGAACCAGGGAGTGGAGCGGTGCCCGGCGGTGCCCTGCCGGAGAATGAAGGTCCCTTCAAGGACGGTGATGATGCCCCTCAAACAGGAAGTACAGAGCAGCATGAGATGGCAGGGGGGCCCAGTCCGGGAGTCAAAAAGGTCATAGAAAACGATGACTTAGCACCCACAGGGGAGCTGGGAGCCTCCACTTCAGAAGGCAGGGACGAGCTGAGAGGCGAAAGCGAGAAGGGCAGAAGCAAGGAAGACTGTACCATGTCGTAAGTGGACAGGGGCCGAGGACCGCACATGAAGCCCAGCTGCCAGAGGCTCGTCTGCTCTCTCCACGGGTGAGGTTCCTAAAACGTTCCACATTGAGATAGATGCACCATAGGACAGTCAGCCACCGAGCTATCCACCACGTTGAGTTATAGACTGTTACTTGTAGACATATTCTTCCTCATTAAGGTTATCACCCAGATTAGAAAGAAAAACACACCTGTAATCAGTAGGAGTCCTAACGGAGAACATTCCGGCGTGTCAGACAATAGACACTGCGTGTTTCTGCTTACAATCCGAATAAAGCTCTTTAGCATTTGCCTTAGGCTGATATTCTTGACCAAATACACCAGCACCCAATTGAAATGACCAAATGGCATTCTGAGATTTGTGAGTATAGTTGATATTTAAGTTAATGTGTCTTCATTCAAATCTATGTCCTTTCATATTTGATTTTGATGTGTACGTTATAATCTCTACGGTATTTTATTTTAAAAGGAGATAAATGACCCAATAGTGTATAGGTCACTGAGTGATAAGATTTGCACCTTAGGACAGTAATTAATCGTGTTAGGGATAAGAAATAAGTATCTTAAAGCACTGGGACATCTTAATTCCCTTTACCTCATATATAAGTATTTTATCTCAAACCGATACTTTTGATCTCATTGTTGATGATACCTGAATTTATTTTGTAGATTTTGACTTCACTTCATGCTGATTATGTACCAAAGTCATTTTATACAAAAAAAAATTTTTTTTAATTTGTTTCCGGAAGAGACATACATTGAAATTGCACTTCCTAATGCAGTTTTTGTGCAGGGGGACCATTTCTAAAATTTATTTTTTTAACCCTTAAATTACTCCTCTTTCTATTTGTCTTATATTCGAAAGAAAAATACAAAAGGTACCATTCTTGTGCAAACTGCTAATTGAACTATAACAGGATATTTCAAATAGTTGGATCACTTTTGGCATTTTGGTATAAATATTTTCATTTGTTTTAT